GCTGGCAACAAACAAGCAGGCTCAGGGCAGAGGACAAAGGCTGGTTTAAAGCTCCCCTTATAAAGGCACGGCCTGGCCTGGTTGGGCAATGAGAGGGTAGTGAGAGTGCCCTGGCTGGTGCCAGGTGCCTGGATGGTGGGTTGCCAGGTGTTGCCTTAGGATTGCAGTGAGCAGCGAGGCAGCCATGGGGCTCCTGTCGGGAGAGGCACTGGCGCCCCTGGCCGTGGCTGTGGCCATCTTCCTGCTCCTCGTGGACCTGATGCACAAGCGCCCACGCTGGGCTGCCCGCTACCCGCCGGGCCCCGTGGGCATACCTGGCCTGGGCAACCTGCTGCAGGTGGACTTCCGAGGCATCCCGAACTGCTTCCGTCAGGTGAGGTGGTGGAGATGGAGGGCGGCAGAGGTGGGGGACCCAGCAGAACAAGGGGAGTGGGTGGATCTTGGGCTGGACAAGGACCGCGTGAGACCAGGAAGCTGGTGTCAGAGGCTTCCAGGGGAAGGGCCCCGAGCGGGCCTGGGACAGTTGGGATTTCCCAAGGCAATGCCTGGGAGGGCAAAGCCCGGGGTGGGGCAGGACTTGGCAGCTTTTAGCCCCTCCCCCCGATGGCACACAGGTTATGCAGGCCCCAGGGCCCCTCTGATTACATCCCAAGGAGAAGGTTGGGGGTCGGGAGCAGGGCCCTGAGCACCACTGGAATCAAGGAACCGAGGCTGATGAGAGATGCCGCAGCCTGGTTCCAGTCTTGTCACTGCTCACCTCTGTGACCCAGGTTCTCTCACCTGTAAAACGGGATGGGTCTGCGCCCCACTGACAATGCTGTGATGCTGGCAAGGCCGCAGCTGGGTGGTGGGGCCCAAAGGGGATCCCTCAACCAGGGGGACAGGACTCCCAGGATCAGGGGGTCACGACTTGCACCTGCCCACATGGGGTCCCCAAGGCTTAGCGGGACAGTGGGACAGGCAGCTCTCTGGGACCTGGGTTTGATGGATGCCTTGACCTTGGCTCTGCAGCTGCGTCACCGCTATGGGGACGTGTTCAGCCTGCAGCTGGCCTGGACGCCTGTGGTTGTGCTCAATGGGCCGGCGGTGATTCGGGAGGCACTGGTGACTTATGGTGATACCTCCAACCGTCCGTACACACATACTGCAAAGCACCTGGGTTTCAGACCACACGCCCAAGGCAAGGAGAGGAAGAGAGACCATATTAGCGTGGGAAAGGTGGGTCAGGGGGAGAGTGACCACAGACAATCCAGCAACAGCACAGGCTGGGGGTAGAGAACACATCCTGTAGGGGCCCAGGTGACCAAGAGTTTTGGTGGTGGGACAGAAACCAGATGAGTGGGTGAAAAGTTTAGGGGCAGGTTAGGGGTGGCACCAACCACTGGCCATGTTAACAAACACACCACACCCCCAGGAGTATCATGGCATGCTCTGGCCCCATATGGTGTGAGTAGCGCCTCTTCTGTCTGCACACTACGCAACTTCGGTCTGGGCAAGAAGTCGCTGGAGCACTGGGTGACCGAGGAGGCTGCCTGCCTCTGTGCCGCCTTCATCAACCATGCAGGTGGGTGATGGGCCAAGCGAGCAGGCGGACAAGGGGCAGGGAGCCAGGAGCAATACCCTGGCCACACACCCACTGCCAGGAAGCCCCTTAAGCCCCATCGTGCTCCTGAACAAAAACGTTGGCAACGTGATCACCTCGCTCACCTTTGGGTGCCACTTTGAGTACGATGACCATCACTTAGGCTGATGGACCTGATAGAGATCATGTTGGAGGAGTCAACAGGGATCTTGCCACTGGTGCGGGGCTCACGGAATTCCGTGTGAGGATTTGCACATACAGGGGTAGAAAGGGGCATTCATGGAGAGGCCACTGCAGCAGGTAAAGCGTGGAACCGGGAAATCCCAGACCACAGCCATGGGAGAGGAGCCCAGAGTCCACGGCCCCAGGAGAGGGAAGGAAGCTGTCCCTCAGTAGGGCTGGGTGCCAGGCAGCCCGTGAGATCTGAGTTCAGCTTTGTCTTTGGCCATCCCCGACCAGGACAGGTTCATGGTGGGGATGGGCAGCCTGAGGCACGGCCAGGTGAGCCCCGAGCACAGGAAGATCCGCCCTCCTCTGAGCAGGTGCTGAACATGATCCCCATACTCCTGCGCATCCCGGGGTTGGTGGACAAGGTCTTCCGTGGGCAGAAGGCTTTCATGGCTCTGCTGGATGAGCTGGTGACCGAGCACCGCATGACACGCGACCCAGCCCAGCCTCCCCGGGACCTGACGGACACCTTCCTGGATCAGGTGGAGAAGGTGAGAGGCAACGGCCAGGACAGGTGCAGGGCAGGGGGTTCAGGGTGCTGTGAGGCCCAGCCAGACAAAGTGGGGCCTGTGCATCCCCCTCCTACCAGGCCCCTGGCTGCCAGGGACAGAATGGGAGATCATGTGGGGGCTTCTGTCCCTCTGAGCCACTCCTCTGTCCTGGCCCAGGCCAAGGGAAACCCTGAGAGCAGCTTTAACGATGACAACTTGCGCTTGGTGGTCGCTGACCTGTTTGTTGCTGGCATGTTCACCACATCATTCACACTGTCCTGGGCCCTCCTGCTTATGATCCTGCACCCGGATGTACAGCGTGAGCCGAGCTGGAGCTGCGGGGAGTGTGGGTCGGGGGAGGGCAGTCAAGGGCTTCTGAGCTTAGCCTGGACACACTGCTGTGGGGACGCTTGTCTGTCCAGGCCGGGTCCAGCAGGAGATCGATGAGGTCATAGGGCCGGCGCGGCGACCAGAGATGGGGGACCAGGCGCGCATGCCCTATACCACCGCCGTGGTTCACGAGGTGCAGCGCTTCGCGGACATCGTCCCATTGGGGGTGCCTCACCAGACATTGCGGGACATTGAGATGCAGGGCTTCCTCATCCCCAAGGTAGGCCGGGCCCCCTCACCCCGGCTCAGCACCCCTGCCCACACATGGTCCCAGCATGTCTTCCTACAGTGAGATGGATGGAGCCCAGACCACCCATCCCTCTATGCCTCGGGCACTACTCGGCTCAGCCTTTGTGGAGTGGGTGCAGAACAGACCCAGGGCTTGTATGTCTACACAGAGCCCCCAGGGCAAAGGGGAGACAAACTAGGATGTCCCCCTCCCCCTTGTACCTTTGTGCCTTTCTAGCCACCAAAGCAAACACAGGTGGCCTCGATCCCCATGCACTGGTCTGACCCCTGGCCCTGACTTCCGAGTTACCCACTTTAGTTAAAAAGTCTGTTGAAAAATGAATGACAGTAAAGAAGGAAAAAGCAAAACAAACCTGTTGACTGCACCGTGGCTACTGCCCCACGCTAGCCGGCAGCCCTGCAGGTTTCTCTACAGTTGCCACGGGGTTTCCCTGAAGAAGTGGCCCTGCTGGCCTCCCGGAACCAGGACTGGGGAGACAACCTCGGCCAGGCTGCCACTAGGCTGAGCACGGCTACAGGGAGGAAGCCAGTGCCATCAGGGGTTGCACAAGGCACCAGGCCAAAATCTGTCCTTCCTGGAAAGTGTAGCAGCAAACCTGTGGGGTGCTGGGCTCCTGCTCTCTCTCCCTGATCCGAGGCTCACTGAGCCCCCCAACTCACCCACATGCTGCTATACATGCCTCAGGGAGCCCCTGGCCCACACAGAGCTCTACCTCTTCTTCATCTGTTGCCCGCAGCACTTCACCTTCTTGGTGCCCACTGGACAGCCTTGGCCCAGTTACCATGATGTCCTCTCCTTCTTAGTTAGCCTGTTCTGTGTCTGTGCCTCTGCTACAAAAGGGCACTAATCAAAACCTACATCCAAGCCAGAGACTTGATGTACAATAAATCCTTCTGTAGCTCCAACCCAGCTCTCTGATCATCTGCTGGCTGCTATCAGACCTCAGCAGCCTCCCAGGGGCAATCTTTAGACCCTGCTTTATCTATCCTTATTTGACCATGTGACCCCCTTGGAGAGATGGGAAAGTGAAGGCTCAGAATATGTCAGCCCACCTTGTCCACAAACCCAAGCCCACCACTGACTCACCTCCACCTGCCCAGGGGGAGGCTCAATTCCATTCACCACACACCAGGGACCAGCAGCCCAGCCAGCACCATCACATCTATTACCTCACTTCATATACAACACTCCCCAAACTGTGGAGAAACCTTGGAGGGCCAGGAAATGATGTCCAGAGTTAATAATACCCATGACTCAGTCAACTAGTACCAGAATATTTCCCATGGGGGCTCAGGACTGGGCCACCTCCCACAGCCTCTCAGGCACCCTAAAGTATAGTTGGCCACCCTCTCTGGTCCTTCTGGGATGCCAGTTTCCAGGTCACTGACCAGTGAGGAGTTGTATCTCAGGTTCAGGCTGGAGCTGGAAAAGGACACTTGTCTTGGGTCCAACCTAGGGTGACATCTGCTGAGTGGTCAGGTAGGGTCCACAGGGTTGGTCAGGGGCAGTTTGCCCTAGAGATGGGGGTCAACTTTGGGCTCATGTGTCAATTGGATGGGCAAAGGTCAAAGAGGTGGTATGGGCACCTGAATGGGAGAGACTGTGTTCTCTAGTCTTTGCTCACCATCCTGACCTTTGACTACGGAGGCACTGTTCCCTGCCCAGGGTTTGTTTACTCAACTGACCACCCAATGGCCTCCGAGTCCTGTCTTCCTGCTGTGGCTTCTGGACCTGTAATCCTTGCTGGTCTGGAGCCTCCCAAACAACAGGGACTGGTGTCCTCCTCTCTAGCCCCATTGCCAAAATGGCTGGTCTGGATTGGGCACGTGGGCAGCACCTAAAGGTGTCTAATGATCATGCAGTATCCTGATTCCTCAGTAGAACCTCTGGGGGCATTCAGGGAACAGCCTGGGACAGAAACACAGACACCAAGAGCAAAACCCACCCTGAGGTCCCTTCTGTCACAGGAGCCCTATAGCATCCCTGATGGGGGCTCCTGTTAGCATATTCATAACTGACCTCAGGACGGGGAGCTCCCCAGCTACCAGCACTTCAAGGACCTTCCTCTGTCCCCTGAAACTGAGTTGGAAGGCTAGCCAGAGCCCCTTGGGTCATTCTAGAGTGTCTCAGGGCAGGGATTGGTGCTCTCACATCTGTCAGGAGAGGGAGTATGGATGGGACAAGGTGGGGTGGTTGTCTGAGAAGCCATGGAGCCTTCAAGAGGAGGCAGCTGGGCCTGTAGAAGCAGAGACTTTTGGGTTTATTGGATCCTTTGTTGTTCACGGTTCTTGCTCTTGGTGGTGATGGAGGTTGGGAATCGGCCCAGAGTGTCCTCAGAACTGGGGGCCTTGGCCCTAGTCCTTTCCTCATTGCTGCCCACCTGAGGCCTCTGAAATCAGACAGGTTTGCCATGAGCCCCTTGCTGGAACCATCAGGAAGATCAAGGTATGTGGCCACCTGAGCTTCTTCCCTTCCCTCCCCACCTTCCAGGTCAGGAATGTCTGAGAGGTGCTGAGCCGCCCATAACCCCTAAGGGAGGAAGGCAGTCCTGCTGCAGCAGGGTTGGGCCCATAGTCTTACCAGACGGATATAAAGCAATCTCCTTTTGGATATTTCTGTTTTCCTGGGAAGGTAAACAAAGGAACAGCAGTAAGATGAGACAGGTTCTATCTTGTGCAGATTGGGAAACTGAGGCCCCGCTCCACAAGAAATTGGGAGACCAGGATCCAGATGACTCCCTGCTCATATCATATCTATTGCCTCTCAGTGCCACACAGCTTCCTTGTATGGCTTCTTGGCCTGGTGGTCATGGGGTCGAGCTAGTCCCCACCCTACTGCCTCCTTGCCCCTGCAGTGGTCCATGAATGCTCCTGCTGGGGTCGCAGGCTGTCCTTACTTCTAGCCTGGGGTTCCTGCCACCTCCTCCTCAGTTTGAGTGGAGCTACTTCTTCCTCCCTTGGCACCTTACTTGCCTTTCCTCCTGAGACAGGATGTCGGTCTCCTCCTTGGGGACAGCACCATTCAGTCCCCCTGGTACCCTGGTGGTCTTGGCCTATTATAGAGAGGGTCAAGAGGGAAGACTATGAGCAGAAAGGCCCTCAAAGGACTTCATCTCTTCTGCTGTTTTCATACTTGGGGTATTACAGTCCTCTGTTTTTCCTGGGAAGTCCTTCCCTTCTCAGCAGAGCTGTGGTAAGTTTGTGAATTTCTTGGAAGGGGCTTGACATTATCGCCCTCTCTACCATAAACTTTGGTATCTCAGGATCTAAAGGAGTTTTGACAGGGAAAATCCCCAGCCCCAGATCTTTCCAAGGAAGGCCTCACTTACCTTAGAGGCTTGCTTCTTCCCCCTCTTGATTTTGGGTCTCTGCACAGGGGGAAGGAGAGGTAACACACAATTACAAGTGACCGGGAATCTTTTCCTTTCTGGGCTCATCCGCTCCAGGTAGTCTCCTTTGCTGTGCCTTCCAAGGGTACCCAGGACAGCCACCCCACTCTAGGGCATGAGGTGTCCCAGTTCTTACCCACCTGAATGGTCACAGGGTAGCACTTATCTATCAGCCCCCACACTGGCCTTAAAGTATCTCCTATGGGCTGCATGACAAGGAGAGAAGAAAGGCTGAGGTGAGATCTATCACCAATGTCCTCATAAGCATACACCTCAAGACTACGAGGTATTTAAGGAAAACTTAAAGTTTCGCCAGATTTATTTGAAAGAGTGGCAGAGAGAGGGGAAGAAACAGAGAGAGATCTTCCAGCCACTGGCTCACTCCCTAACAGCCACAATGGCCGGGACTGGGCCAGGCTGAAGCTAGGAGCCAGGAACTCCATCCAGGTCTCCCACATGGGTGCAGGGACCCAAGTACTTGGACCATCTTCCACTGCTTTCCTAGGCACATTAGCAGGAAGTTGGATTGGAAGCAGAGCAGTCAGGACACAAACCAGCACTCCTTTTAATATGATGGCAGCGTTATCAGAAGCAGCTTAACCTGCTGTACCACAATGCCAGTCCCTAAAATTTTTTTGGAAAAACTATAATTGATGTCTTCAGAAAAATAAAATTTTGTATTAATAAAATAAGTATAGATAGCATTAAATAGAAATATTCAGACCACCAGCACCCATAAATCATAAAAAATAAAAATACGATAATGGGAATGAAAAACTCAATCACTGTAGAAGACAAAGTTGAAAGAAACATTTCCCCCCCTCCCTTCCTCTCTTTATCTTTAATTCTGCCCTTCAAATAAATAAAATAAATCTTCAAAAAAGTCCATAATTTCTCACCAAAAAGGAAGAGGGTGTAAAAAGAAAAAAAAGTGGAGCAACTGGACTCATACTAGCACTGAACTGTGATTCCAGCATTTCAAGTGGGAGCTTAATCCACTGTGCCACAATGCTGACCCCTATATGAATATCTCTGATAATAATACAATTTTTTAAAATAGAAACTGAATCTTTAAAAAAGAAAACAAGCAAAGCTGAAATTAACAGTCAACATGGGCATTCTTAGGGGCTCCCCCAATCTCTACTACCAAAAGATGTAGCCCATAACTCCCAGAGCTATTGGGTCACAAACAACCTTATCCCCATGAGAACATTATGGATTTGGGTTTTTTGTTTTGTTTTAAGACCATCATCTTTTTTTAGAAAGCTTTTGTTTAATAAATATAAATTTTATAGGTACATTTTTAGGAATATAGAGGTTCTTCCCCCCACACCCACCCTCCCATCCCACATCCTATTCCCTCTCCCATTTCACTCTTCATTAGGATTCATTTTTAATTTTCTTTATATACAGAAGACCAACTCTATACTAAGTAAAGATTTCAACAATTTGCACCCACACAGACACAAAGTATAAAGTACTGTTTGAAGGCTAGTTTTACTGTCAATTCTCATAGTACAACTCATTGAGGACAGAGGTCCTACGAGAGGAGAAAGTGCATAGTGACTCCTGTTGTTGATTTAATAGTTGACACTCTTATTTATGATGTCAGTGATCACTCGAGGCTCTTGTCATGAGCTGTCAAGGCTACATAAGCCTTCTGAGTCTACAAACTCTGTCAGTATTTAGACAAGGCCATAAGCAAAGTGGAAGTTCTCTCCTCCCTTCAGAGAAAGGTACCTTCTTCTTTGATGGCCCCTTCTTTCCACTGGGATATCACTCACAGAGATCCTTCATGTAAAGACCATCATCTTTTTTTTTTTTTAAGATTTATTTATTTATTTGAAAGTCAGAGTTACACACAGAGAGAAGGAGAGGTAGAGAGAGAGAAGTCTTCCATCTGCTGGTCCACTCCCGAATTGGCCACAACGACAGGAGCTGCGCCGATCCAAAGCCAGGAGCCAGGAGCTTCCTCCCAGTCTCCCACATAGGTGCAGGGGCCCAAGGACTTGGGCCATCTTCTACTGCTTTCCCAGGCCACAGCAGCGAGCTAGATTAGAAGTGGAGCAGCTGGGACTTGAACCGGCACCCATATGAGATGCTGGCACTGAAGGCAGTGGCTTCACCCACTACGCCACAGCGCTGGCCCCAAGACCATCAGCTTAACAGCATTCTACAGCAGGGAGCAGGAGGCCTCCAGATAGCAGTATGTGGTCCTATCTTGTCACCTTGGGTGACCCAAGTCTGGTCACTCTCCCTCTCAGAGCCTCCGTTTCCTCTTCTATGAAGTAGTCACTTCTGAGTTGCCACAGGTTTTAATTGCTTAAGAAATTGGCAGCACCTAATCCCTAGCATGGTCTCAATAGGCACCCAGCATCCACATGTGTTCTCGCCCAGGGTGGGAGTAGGAGCTTCTGCCATAGGTTCTTGGATCTGGGATGCCAAGGAGGCTATGTGTGTCCTGGTCACCACTACCCCATTCACATATGTGTGTTGAACCATATTCCAGGGCCACTCACGTGCTTGCTGGGGATTACTGTTTCTTTAGGTTTGTCTAGGCCACTACCATGGAAATATGAGATGACCATATAACCAGCCCATGGAGAGGGGGCTCTGTTTTGACACTTTACCAGAGACAAGTTTCTGCAGAATCCTCACATTCACAAAAATCTTGATAGGTGGTTCACCATTTTGGGTCAAGAAGAAAAACTCCTATTTAGATTTCAGTGACAATGTCTCTGGGCCCCAACAACCACAGTGTCCTACCTGTGATGATTCCCCGGAAATTTCATAGTCAGGAGCTATTTTCCCCAGAGACTCCTGGAAATAGTAGTACAATACTCCTGCAAGTTGATGAAGAAAAACTAGTTAAAAACATCTAAGAGTGCTTCAATTCTTCATTTTTAAATCTCAGTATTTATAATATACCAGAAATCATATCCTTTTAAACTTGTGATAAAGAATGTGGGGATCAATTTAAAATGTGTGAGGGTTTACATAGTTTGTCAAAAGGAGTACAAGCACAAAGGACATTATTAGGTTGTCTGAGTTTTTGGGTTGTATGTATTTTGGGGGTTGGGAAGCCTGATTTTAGAGTTAGACATAGATCCAGGTCCCAGTCTCTCTTTAGAGAGTACAGAAGAAACAGTTGGGCAGAGAAAAGCAACCTTAGCTCTGAGCAAAGTGACTAGTTGCTCAGAGCAGCCTTGGGAGGGGACCTGTGGAAACCCTGTTGGGTAGCCAGAGACTGGGATGGTTGTGGGGTGGGAATCAGTCTCCTGGGTCTTGCCATCATCCCAAACCCACCCCTGTGCCCAGGCCCTTACCTACAAGAATGAAGATTTGTACCACATAGAGGGACTTGTAAAATCTGAAAGGGAAAGCATTGCTGAATGTGAAGCTGGGGTCTCTGTGGTCCCCACTATTTCCTCTCCATTCCAGGGCTCAGAACCTCCTCTTCAAGGGCATGTCCAGTCAACACTGGGTGGATAAATCTAACAGCTACAAAAGGGCTCAGCCTGGGCTTTCTGCTAACAGCAATGACTTCATGCTTCTACCTGCTACTTCAAATGCAGACTTACAGGGTGAGTCTGTAGCCTAGCGGTTAAGATGCTTGCATTCCATATTAGTGTGCCTGGATTCGATTTCTGGCTCTAGCTGCTGACTCCAGCTTCCTGTCACTGAAGACCTTGGAATACCTCCCCTGAGACAAGCAGAGCATCTTGGCTCCCTGCCCCCCCCCATGTGTCACCTGACAGGACCAAGCCCTCCACCTTGAGCTCCTCTTTCTCTAGCACTTGCACTGTCACCTGAACCCTGAGTCCCAGACAGTGCAATGGTTTCAGGAAGGGAGACAGAGCCATTTTCCCTTCCTCTTAGGCCCAAGCTGGGGATCCTCTTTGGTCATTTGGGACATAGAAGCAGACTCACATAAACTTTACCTCTCTCTCTGGCAGCACAGACCAAACATTTTCAGTCTAGGAAGAGAAGATGGGCAATAGTCAGTGCATCATGTGGACCTGGAATCCCAGCGCTTCCTCACTTGTGGTTGGCAGGGATGGCAATGATCAGAGTAGCTGAGGTGATGGCAAGAACTTCCACCTCAGGGCTCAGCCAGAGGGTGGCCTGCTGGTCACAGCTAGAGACCAAACTCCGGATGGAGTGCACTAGCATGAGGAGTTTCTCCCAAGATCTCAGCATCTCCAGACAAAAGTTGGTTTCAGTGCCCTCAGAGCTGGAGAAATATGTCCCAGAGAACCAAATGGGAAAGGGAATTTGGGATAGGATTAAGGGGAAAGCCATAGCTCTATTGAACATTTGGTATAAAATATCCTCAGGTGTAGGTAGATAATTATAATAGGAAATTAGAAGCTACCAACATTTTTAAAGTGCCTTCTGGTTTATGCAGCACTTAAAAAATAATTTTTGGGGGCAGCACTGTGGCATAGTGGGTAAAGCCGCCAACTGCAGTGCTGGCATGGGTGCTGGTTCGAGTCCCAGATGCTCCACTTCCAATCCAGTTATCTGCTATGGCCTGGGAAAGCAGTAGAAGATGGCCCAAGTCCTTGGGACCCTGCAACTGTGTGGGAGACCAGGAAGAAGCTCCTGGCTCCTGGCTTCAGAAAGGCACAGCTCTGGCCATTGCAGCCATGTAGGGAGTGAACCAGCAGATAGAAGACCTCTCTCTCTCTCTCTCTCTCTCTCTCTCCCTCTCTCTGCCTAACTCTGCCTTTCAAATAAATAAATAAATCTTTAAAAATTAATTTGGGGGAGCCAGCAGTGTAGCTTAGTAAATGAAGCCACTGGTTGTGATGCCAGCATCCCATATGAACACCAGTTTGTGTCCCAGCTGCTCCACTTCCAATCCAGCTCCTAATATGTCTGGAAAAGCAGCATGCCACAGCACTGGCCCCATCAGATTCTCTCTTTAAACCTAACTCCTCTTTCTCACATTCAGCAGAGAACATAAGCACTATCAAAAGGGAGTTCTCTCAAGCATCTGCCACCAAAGCCACCATCTGTTTCTCCCAGGACATTTCCCCTTTCAGAGGAGGTGCCCTCCCTTCTCTGAAGCTAACTCTGCTGCTGTACCCAATTCCATCTGGTCTCACAACCTGGGCATTCAGGGATCTACTCTCTCACCTGTGTATTCTACTTTTCCCTTTTATCTGGCTCCATCACATCAACATTTAAAAATATCACTCACGTCTTCCATTAAAAAACAAAGGTCTTAGCTATCTAGTGGCTAAGATGCTGGTTGGGATGCCCACTTTCTGTATCAGAGTATCTGAGTTGAACTCACAGTTCTGGTTCCTGACTCCAGCTTCCTGCCAATGTAGACACTGAGAATTAGCAGTAATGGCTCAAGTAATTGGATTCCGCCACCCACAGGAAGACCTGGATTGAGTTCCCAGCTTCCTGGTTTTGGCCCTGCCAGTCTCAGGTGTTTGTAGGCATTTGGGAAGCAAATCAGCAAATGGGAACTCGCTCACCCTCTCTCCCTCTACAAAAAGTTTTCTCCCTTGAACTTGTATCCCTTTCCCAGTTAGTGTCTCCTCCCCCACCCTTCCCATAAGTCTCCTTGAAGAAACTGTCGTCACTACTCTCTACCTCTCCCTCACTCCACAACTTACTTCAATCTGTTTCTGTCCCTTAAACCTCTGAAATTCCTCTCACCAAAGTCACAAATATGTTCCTAGTCACTAGATGTCAGTTTCCAGCTTCCTTGACCTTTTTGCAGGGCACTCCCTCCTCACTTTCTCTCTTGGCTGCCTGGTCTAGCTCACTATAATTTTCCTGCTACTTCCCACTCCCTCTTGCGCTGCCTGTCCTAGTATCAGTGTTGCTCCAGGTCATTCTGGGCATGACCCAAGACCAAGAAGAGAGGTCTTCTAGAGTAAGCCTCTCTCAGGTGTCTCACTAAGACTCACCACCTCATATGCTAGTAATGACAGAGATCTGAACTTCTACCTCAGATACTCTGACTTCCCTTGGAGGCACTGTTCCCTGCCTAGAATGTGCTTCTCCATTGCCTGCAGGAAGACTTCCCTGACGCCCTGAATCTGAGTGTACCCCCTCAGTGCTCTTAGGGCACTGTACTGTTTCTTGAAAACAGGGCTGACAGCCCACTTTGGACCTGTCCATAGTCAAACCCCCAATAACTGGCCACATGCCTAGAACACAGCAGGAAGTCACACTAGTGGATGTTTATGTAACTCTCTGGTTATCACTATTGGGTAAGCTCTGGCCAGGGTTTTAAAGCAAACCCATTATGTCTTACTGAGAATATGGCCGACAACGTATGTAACAGTAGGCTTTGTTAGTCATTTCTAAATTGGTGTCCGTGAAGTTATCCGGCTTTTCTCAAAGGAGACTTAGAGGAAGAAAGGACAGAGGATGAATCCTAAGGGAGGGGACCACAGAGGCGAGGAGCATGCTAAGTAGGACGGGGTTCAGAAAAGGCAGCACAGCAATTGCCTGCCTGCATGGTTTATTGAGGGCAGCCTTTAGGAACTGCTTACCAAAAATGCCAATTTTGATGACGTTAGTGATTTTCAGAGAGTCCTTTGACCGTATCAGTGTCCAGGCAGTCTATTCACCTCTTCTCAGGCACCAGGAACAAGTCTGAGAAGAGCACTGGCACCAGCTAAGTCTGAAAGCCCAGTGCACATGCTTCCCCCTTTTGTAGGCCGAGCAGTGTCTGTGTGTGACATCATGTCTTAGCGGCCTTTATGACAGGACAACCTCTCCATCCAGAGCAACTGGTTCATTGCTTCAAGGAGGTTTTAAATATCTACCAGTCAGAGCAACACCCTTATAGGTATCTCTTTGGTTCAACTCAATGCCATCAATGCTGACTAAGTAGCCACAATGAGCTAAACTGTGTGAAGTCCTGGAGAGACACAAAGATGCATAAAAGTCAACTTTGTCCCATAACCCAATAAGCATATTTTCTGAGTTGAAAGCAAGAACTGCTTAAAGCCTAACAACTTTTAAGTGACATGCATTCATTCAACCAGTGTCTTCAGAGCTTCCACTCCAGTCCAGGCATAATGCTTAGGGGATAGAAAGGCACACAGAACACACAGAATCCACCCTTGAGGGGTTCAAAGACATCAAACAGACACGATTCAAGATAAAAAGTTTGGGATGACATTGTGACACAGTGGATTAAACCACCATCTGCAGTACCAGCATCCCATATGAGCACTGGTTCAAGTATCCACTGTTCAGCTCTCTGCTAATGCACCTGGGAAAGTAGTGGAAAATGGTGCAAGTACTTGGGCCCCTGCCACCCATGAGGAGACTCAGTTGGAGTTCCAGGCTCCTGACTTTTGTCTGGCCAAGCCCTGGCTATTGCAGCCATTTGGGAAATGAACCAGCAGATGGACAATTTCTTTCTCTCTCTTTTTCCCTCTTTCTCTGTAACTGTCTTTCAAATAAATAAATCTTTTTTTTTAAAGTATGAGATTATTGATGTCAAGTTAGACAAAGAGATTAATGGAACAAATATTTTCCAGATATAGACCCATATATTATGAACTGGTTTCAGACAAAGGTGAACATGTGATTCAGTAGAGGAAGAAAAAGGTGAACACGTGATTCAGTCCAGGAAAAAAAATGGTTCTGGGAAAATTAGAAATTCATATACAAAAATAGACTCTGATTCATATCTCAGAACACAAATACTAATTCAAAATTGATCATAGACACAATGTAAAACAGAATACTTTAAAACTTGTAGGAGAAGATCTTTCTTTTTCAAAGTTTTATTTATTTATTTGAAATATGGAGTTATATACAGAAATGGAGAAACACAGAAACAAAGATCTTTCATCTACTGGTTCATACCCAAAATGACCACAATGACCAGAGCTAGGCCATATGGAAGCTGGGAGACTGGAACCCCATCCAGTCTGGGATGGGATGGACCCATCCAGGTCTCCCACATGAGTGGCAGGGGCTCTAGTACTTTGGTCATCTGCTGATGCTTTCCCAGGTGTATTAGCAGGGAGCTGGATTAGAAGTGCGGTAGTAGGGACTCAAACCAGCACTCATATTGGGATGACAGTGTCACAGGCAGCAGCTTAACCTGCTGTGCCGCAATGCCAGTCCAGGAAAAATATTTTTGTGACTATGAATTAGGTAAAGATTTTTCAAATATATCCCTCAATCATAACCCTTAATAGAAAAAATCAACTGGACTTCATAGAACTAGAAATCTTCTGTTCTAAAGACACTGTTAAGAAAATGAAAAGATAAGCCACAGACTAGGATAAAATATTTGCAAATTACATATCTAATAACTGTCACGAAGAATATAGAAAGAACTCTAAAACTCAACAATAAGAAAGCAAACAACATAATTTCTTAAATGGAAAAAATATTTGAAGAGGATAAATAGTTGGCAAATAAGAACATGAAAAGGGGGCCAGCGCTGTGGTGCAGCAGGTTAATGCTCTGGCCTGAAACACTAGCATCCCATATGGGGGTTTGAGACCCGGCTGCTCCACTTCTGATCCAGCTCTCTGCTATAGCCTGGGAAAGCAGTATAAGATGGCCCAAGTCCTTGGGCCCCTGCACCCACATGGTTGACCCAGAGGAGGCTCTTGGCTCCTGGCTTCAGATCGGTGCAGCTCCAACCATTGTGGCCAGTTGGGGAGTGAACCAGCAGATGGAAGACCTCTCTCTCTGCCTCTCCTCTCTCTGTGTAACTCTGACTTTCAAATAAATAAATAAATATTTAAAAAAATAATAGAAACACTAAAACTTTTAAGAAAATCATGAAAAGATGCTCGATATCACTGGTCATTTGGGAAATGCAAATTAAAATCATAATAAGACATCACTATTAGACTTTAGGTGGTATCAATTTTTTTTTTTTTTGACAGGCAGAGTGGACAGTGAGAAAGAGAGACAGAGAGAAAGGTCTTCCTTTGCCGTTGGTTCACCCTCCAATGGCCGCCGCGGCCAGTGCGCTGCGGCTGGAAACTGCGCTGTTCCGATGGCAGGAGCCAGGTACTTAGCCTGGTCTCCCATGGGGTGCAGGGCCCAAGGACTTGGGCCCTCCTCCACTGCACTCCCTGGCCACAGCAGAGAGCTGGCCTGGAAGAGGGGCAACCGGGACAGAATCCGGCGCCCCGACCGGGACTAGAACCCGGTGTGCTGGCGCCGCAAGGCGGAGGATTAGCCTAGTGAGTCGCGGTGCCGGCCTCGGTGGTATCAAATTAAAAAGATTGACCATACCAAGTGGTGATGAGGAATAGAGCAACAAGAACTCTGAATCATTGCTAACGGGAGTATAAAATGATAAAATCATTTTTGAACCTTGCAATTTCCTTTAAAAATAAAAATATATGCTTAACATACTACCTAGCCATCCTGCTATAGATATTTATCCAAGAAATGAAAGTTTATTTCATACAAAGACTTGTGCACAGATATTCGTGACAATTTCAACCACAATAGCCAGAAACTGGAATCAAAATAAATGTTCATCAACAGGTGAATTAACATATTGATCAGTTGTTTCCTGGGATTAGGGGTGCAGACAGGAGAGATGAAAAGAAGCTTTTCAGGATAGTAGATATGTTCATATGTTCATTCTCTTAATTATGGTGATGGATCCACAGATGGATAACATGTTAAAATTTATCAAATTCTACAAATTAAATTGCAGTTTGTTGAAGATCAATAAAGCTATTTTTAAAAATAGTAAAGCAAAATGAATGATTATTCTTTTTTCAGATCTAGAACATTTAAACAGGCACTCACATAATCTCTAAAAGAACCCATCTCAATTCCCAATATAGAACAGATATTTACAAAGATAAATAAACATAAAAGCCTGTGAAAAGAAATGGCAGTCCCAAAGGAGGAATTCAACATGGTGTTTCACAGGAGCCATCTCCTTTCCCAGTTATCCTCAAAGTTAAGTAAAGCTAGAAATCTTCTATTTCATATTATCAACAATATTCAAGAGAACATTTTATCTTGAAAATGAAGCAAGCATTAACAAAAGTATGACCTGATAGAGGAAAATAACTAAATTTTAAAATGTAACGAAAACAGTTAAAAACTGATTGAACACTATTTTTAAAAATGAATTAAAAGAGAAGACAAAGGACCAGCGTGTGGCACAGTGGCTTAAGCCACCCCCGGCAATGCTGGCATCCCATATGGGTGCTGGTTCAAGTCCCTACTGTTCTACTTCCATTCCAGCCCCCTGCTTTTAAAAGAGAAGCAATGCTAAAAGAAATACTCTTTGGAGAGAAGAAAGCCTAGACTTTTTAGTAGATTACATGCTTTTAAATTAGCATAATGAGGTAAAAGTAACACAAAGGGTCTATAAGAATAGAGAAATCATTAAGGCAGGAGACAAAAAGAATAAGTTACCTAAAAACAATAAAGAACTGAAATGGCATTGAATTACTATATAAAATACTAAATGTCAGAGAACATTTAGCAAAACCACAGTAATACAGTAAAATAATGTTCTGTAGAGTTTTGAGAAGGAAGAATTGTGACTCAAGAATTCTGTGCAGGGCCAGTGCTATGGCATAGTAGGCTAAGCTTCCACCTGCAGCGCCAATATCACATATGGGTGCTGGTTCATGTCCCAAATGCTCCACTTCCAATCCAGCTCTCTGCTTATGGCCTGGGAAAGCAGTGGAAGATGGCCCAAGTGCTTGGGCCCCTGCACCTGCGTGAGAGATCCAGACAGAATTCCACGCTTCTGGCTTCACCCTGGTCCTGACCTGGCCATTGCAGCCATGTAGGGAGTGAACCAGCAGATGGAAGATCTCTGGCTCACTTTCTCTGCAAACTGAATTTACTGTGGGAACCCAATCCCACTGCATACATCGCCAGCCTTCTCTCTCTTGCCCGGGACTGTCTGCCGCCCCCACTACACAGCGGTTGTCAGCTGCTCTCTCTGGATCCCGTGTAAGCACTGGGGTTTATGCGGCTGTGTTTGTCTGACTAACAGTCCAGTGGTTGATCCCGTGACAGCCCATGCACAATCATTGTCTTCTGCATCCCAGCTGAGCCGTCAGTGAGACCACAGCATCAGTTGACTGTTGGCAATCTCATGAAGGAATTGGAGCCAAAGGAACCTATTAAACTTCATTTGGATTTCTAAGCTACAGGAAATGTGAGATAAATGTTTGGGTTTTTCAGCTGCCAAGTTTTGAGGCAATTTGTTCATAATATTGATACTCTAGATTGAAAAGTATAATATCTGATGTTTATAACTCACTGGATGGGTTTAACAGCAGAACAGACACAGCAGAAAACACAATTAGGTTGGGTACCAAACGCTCTGTAATAGGTGCTCTGCTCCCTGCTCCAGAGGTTTTTGTTCTGTTACCATATAGATAAGATATTGATTTAGATATACTAACACATATTATATATACACTCACTCACACACTATGTACTATATGTGAAACATAATATGTTTGGAACAATGCTTAGACTCAGTGGAGCATGGCCCAGGTGCTTGGGCTCCTGCACCCATGTGGGAGACCCAGAAGAAGCTCTTGGCTCCTGCCTAGCTCTAGCCATTGCAGCCATTTGGGGAGTGAAAAAGAGGATGGAAGATCTCTTTTTCTGTCTCTCCCTCTCTCTATGTAACTCTGCCTTTCAAGTAATTAAATAAGTCTTTAAGAAAAATATAGAGCTCAATGGAACATAAATCTATACATTTGTTTATGTATCTTGAGAAGATGATAAACACATATTTGACATAAATACATTTGAGAAAAAGTGTTAGAATAACTGATTAGTCATTTAGAAAAAAGTTGACATACATAGAATTTTCAAATCCACAATAAATCACAGTTTAATGTAAATGATAAAAAATTTAGGCCGGCGCCGTGGCTCAGTAGGCTA